GTTTCCACTCGTTTCCCCCACAGTCTCCCCCCTGCCTAGATGTCCCCCTGCCCCGCCCACTCCAGCCTCACTATGCTTGTTCTGTGCTTTCACTACAGGTTTGTTGAATGAATGAAGCAATGTACAGGGTGGCTTATTACAGAAGAGCCATTTTCAAACTTCGAAAGTGTGGCCCCAATAAATGTGTGGATATAGGCCTGTGTGTGTGTGTGTGTGTGTGTGTGTGTGTGTGTGCCACATCCCACACACCTACTCAGAGTTTCATGAAATAGTCTCAGTATACCCTTACTACACAGAATGCAGTCAGAGAGTTCTGTTCTGTCCTGTATCTTTTTGTTTTTTTCCTAAAGAAAATGAGGGTTACAAGGGAATTGATTTCCCTACCTAGACTAATGCATCATGACCTGCAATTTGAAAACACGGTTACAGAGTAATCTGGCAGATAGAAACCTTGTTCTTTGCAATTGGGTGAGCTACTTGGGAGGATCTGCAGGGTTTATCCCAGATTCTTGATGCTGATTCTGAGAGAGTGAGAAAATCAGGGGCAAAGGGAAGTGGTAGCTAAGCATTATGGTGACTTGAAAGTTTGCTGCATTTAATGTACACTTAGTATTTCATGGCCTAGGTGAGGATGTAGAAATCTAACGAGTACTTAGGTATTTGGGCAATTATTGTTTGAGAAAAATTTGGATTTAGTCACATGCATCATGGAAACTGTGTTGAGATTTACAAGGGTGACCTTCCAATAAATGCCATGTTCTGTATCCAAAATCCCGGGCTCCAGATGTGTGCAGATTCCTGAGTCTTGGGAGTCTGAAAGGAAGTTTGAGGACACTGATTATATTTGTGCCTCCACCTGCCCTGCAGTGGCTGTGATGAAGCATGCTGACTTTTCTTGGGCTTGTACACGGCTGTCCACACCCTGGGGTTGAAGTAGGAAATGACACAGGGAAAATATTATAACTCCCAACCTGCTAGATGTCCGACATGTCGAGTTCGTGTTCCCCAAAATTGAAGAATGAATTCTAAGGAACAGCAGAGGTTCAAAGTAGGAAATATTTATTGAGGGGAAAGACACAGCTCCCGAGAGGCAGGAGGGGGCCTGAAAGTGGGTAGCTGAGGACCCCACTTCTCAGGGGAAGTTTCACAGAGCATAGACACAACAGGGGTTACAGCTATGGTCAACCAAGAAGTTTATAAGTACGGTTGCTTAGGTAACATTGATCCAATGGGGAAGCAAGTCATGCACCAAGTGTACATGGAAGGAACAAAGAATTTTTCAGGAAGGGATGATCCTGAGGGTCTTGGTCACCCAAGGAGGTGACTGATGTCTATCTAGACTTCATTAGACCAGGATTTACCACTTGTCTTAGGGCTGGTCATTTCAGCTTTATCTTGAGGCCTGGTCTCCACTAGATGCTCCTTCAACCACAGCTGTACTGTGTTTTAACTTTTGTCCTGACCCTTGAGGGCCTATCCCTGTCTGACTGCCTGGAGTATTGCTGTCCAGCTTAGTTGTCTACAAAAGGGTGAAGGTCAAGAGCCCCCTATGTCAGCACAGGTCACCAACCACATGGGAAAATAGGTTCAGAGTTCACACAACAGGAAATGAACTTTTGTTATCCAGGGGCCAGGTTTTTTCATTCTGAAATTCAACAAGACCATTTACCCCTGTGGGCCCAGGGCCCAGCTCAAAAAAAGGACCCAGGAGACGTTTGTTGAGTCAATCATTGAGTCCAACCACAGCTTGCAGAAATCTCCGATCATGCTGAAACAGTTCTGAGAAACTAACTTCAGTTCTTTTCTGAGGCCGTTTAAGTTTTGTCCTATCTCTTGTAAGTAGATAGTGCTCACAGGAAGCACTTGTGGACTCTGCTACTTCTTTTTCATTTTCCTTCAGGCTTTGCAGTTGAAGCAGGAGGAGACAAACCCACTAGTATAAGATAAAGTTGAGTCCATAAATAAAACCTTTATTACTTATTTGTTGTGGGTTCAGAAAAGTAGCCACATTGAAAATTTCCCTTGTTTGGCTTCCATGTACCAGCTAGATGTAGTAACCTATACCATGAATATTCTGATTTCAGGTGTGTGTGTGTGTGTGTGTGTGTGTGTGTGTGTGTGGAATTGGAGTTTCTCAGGCTTGGCTTTATAAAGGTCTGGGTTCAAATTTGGGGTCTCCCATATCCTTTGGCATATTACATGAGCACGTTCCTTCTAGCTTCATTCCTTATTTATAAATAAATATTGATAATTATGATATCATAGTGTTGTCATAAGGATTAAAGGAGCTCATACACGTAAAGCACTTGTCATGAAACTTTGCCTTTTATGGTTAATAGTAAAACAATTGTGATGGCAGTGGCCCTGCTGTTAGGATGACATAGCCCAAGGGCAGGCCAGGGACAAGTGTAATCTCTCCCAGCCTCGCTCCTCACATTGTTCATACGGATGTATTAGTCAGCAGGGGTCAAGTTATGGGTCAGTAACAAACAATCCTCCAATCTCAGCACCTTAACACTGCAGTCACTCATTTGTGGGCCAGGCAGTGTTCTCTGTGGGTGGTCGTCTTCTGTTAGCTCTGTACTCAGCTCCACTTCAGTTAATGAATGAGGTTTTAGGCTATGCTTTTTGCTGATAACAATAAATGACACAGAAAAAAAGGTTTGACAGTCAGTGCTGCAGACCATAGCACAAAGAAGAAAGACGAGTCCAGCACAGTTACCAGACTACCTACCCTTCTGTTGGCAGCTCTGCTTCACATTCTAGGCCAGTGGTGGTGAATCTATGGCACGTGTGCCACAGTTGGCTACTTATTATCATCGAAAGCTCTGAAAGTTTCACCATCACTGTTCTAGTCAGACGACATTTGTGTTCTCACCTGTTGCTGTAACTGTTGCACCCTCAGATAATGGGAATGCAGAGCTCTGCCCTTTACAGTGGGGCCAATAGGGCTGAGGGGGCGCTCCGGGCATGTTTTCTCTCAGATCCTGCAGACCAGAAGCAAAGCTTACCACCTCCCTATAACTTTCAAGTCCTACCTCCCCTGACCATGCCTTAGGAGAAAGATGGCAACAAGGTGGCCCTTGCTTGTCGCCTCCACTAGACCAGAAGTCCCACCCTGAGTTTCGTTCTGCAGTTTACAACATCTCCCTACTGTTGATATTTTCTTCCCCAAAGACAAAGACATGCAGTGTCTTCAGGTCCTCAAGTTTGAATCTGATAAATTGAAGGAACAAAGGTGGCTGTCTTTGCACCACCAGTCCTCATAGCACTGACAACCAAGACTGCTGACTGCGAGAAGCAGACAGGAGGCACAAGGGCAGATCTGTTAAATTGTGTGTAAATGGTCTTTTTCCTGTGAAATCTCAATACTTCCCCTAGGACATTACAGTCAGGTTCTGAGCCACTCTTTTCTGATATTTACTCATTCGGGATTTTTCTCTTGAGAAACCACTGAGGCAACAGAACCATTTCGCCTCCATGAAGACAATGTCAAAGTCTCAAAATCCAGGACGTTTTAAGGCAGGATTCCAACCTCATTACTGCCAGGAATAAAATTCATCCAAGGTGAAGTGTCCTCGCTTAGAACTCAAATCCGTCTCAGAATGGCTTTTCTTTCCCCTTTGTTTTTGAAGCTAAGCAATTACTTTTTTTTTTTAAGGAAAAAAAATTGCGCTAATGCACAAAACTCTTTTTTGCCTTTCATTTATTTGAAATTGAACTTAACAAAGTCAGTTCTGAGCGAGCACTATATATGAGTAATGCTTTTTGTCCATAAAAGCCCATTGACTCAAATGGTATGGGAGGGCTGATTCTCCGTCTGCTTTGTGGGAGCGTCCATAATGACAAAGTACTCGTGTCACAGGGTATAATGAAACTATAAATTGTTTTCATGAATGCTCTGAATTTGATCTTTTACAGGGCAAATTCAAAAGGTATTTAGTGCCACGTTTCACATATGTGAATAACACCGGCCAGTGCAATATATCCAGTAACTGTAGAGACTCTTCGCTGGGCTCACCCTGGCTGGGGTGGTGGTGGGTGACTGTCACATGTGGTTATTTCACGGTGCAGGACAGTGGGGAGAAGAGATGAAAAAGATCCCATCACTAGGAAGCAAGAGTTCCCGCAAGGTGTGCGATTGTTTGGAGAGAATTCAGCTGCGGCTCCTGGGTGGTGGGTACCTGCATCTGAGTCACAGAAGATACACAGGTCAGGGCCATGATAGGGAGCAGGTTTGCAAGTGGGAGCGTGTCTCCTGGGTTGTGTGGGCAGGGACAATCCAGTGTTAGGAACTATAGTTCAATTAAACTATTTTCATTACATCTTCGGGTATGTTTTATTATAGAAGCCATATGGGTTTATCCCTGAAATAATTAGAAAATACAGAAAAACAAAGAAAAATGTAACAACTTGGGTTTTTAAACTGGGAGTGGTGGCTCATACTTAGAATCCCAGCACTCAGGAGGCCGAAGCAGGAGGATTGCAAACTCAAGACCAGCCTGGGCTACATAGTGTGTTCCAGGCTAGCCTAAAATATACAGCAAGAACCTGTCTCAAAAACAACAGCAACAGAAAAATAAAAACAAAAACTTGGGCAATGCATTTAAAATCAAGAGAGTATCATCAGCAGTAGTTTTACAAAAAAATTCTTAACAAATATCTTTGTATACCACTTTGCAAGATTTTAATGTTACATAAGCTTATCTGGCTATGAACATCCTTTTTAAGCAAAACCGGGGCTCAGCTATTTATTTGCCTATACAATTTTTAAATATACAATCGCCTTTTACGTTATTGCTAATTAAATTATCTGTCTCAGTATGTGGGAGATCCTGGATGTCCAATATTGGGTTCTGTCTCAAGGATAGCATGAATCAGGCACTGTATGCCCCTATGTCCCTCACTGGCAAGTGTCCCTGGAGATGTGATCCCTACAAATTAAAGGGGAAGGGTCAGAGGCAGCGTGTGTTAAGCTATGTGTGTTTGCTTGGCAGTACCTGGTGTGCAAGAGGAAGCTGGAGAGTAAGAAGGAGGCGCTGCTCATCCTGTCCAAGGAGCTGGACACCTGCCAGCAGGAGCGGGACCAGTTCAAGCTCATGGCCAACCAGCTGCGGGAACGCCACCAGTCCCTGAAGAAGAAGTACCGAGAGCTGATCGTAAGTACGACATCAGGGTGACTTCCCGGTGCCTTCTGCGAGGACAGAAAGAGGCAGATTTCACAGCCCATTCCTTCAAAAAGGACTACATTCAATTGATGCAAGATGGGGAAATTAAGAAACGAAGGTCCTCCACAACCCAGCCCCGCTTCCGGTGGACACGAACAGCTTCCTGAGTGCGTCCTCAGCGCATGCGCGCCTAGCTTAGGCGTCTACGAGTGGCAGTTCACCTATCTATGCATTCATGTGGACTTTTAAAAAATGATTTAAAAGAGGATTCGTATTCTAAAATCTGCGTGAACACAGCGGCCCCTAGTTACACGTGCCTATTTAAATTTAAGCTAAATCAAATAAGAACGTGAGCTGCTCAGTCTCACTTGTCCCGTTCCATGGGCTCCGTGACCACAGGTAGCTTCTCTCCTGGCAGCTGATACAGGACATCCGTCACTGCAGAGCTTCCCACTGGGCAGTGTGGTGCTGCGTGGTTCTAAAAAAATCCTCTTTTCGCTCACCCCTTTATCCGGACAGCTTGCTGGGCCACACGTACAGCTGTAACACATTCTCAGGAACATTTGCCTAGGGATTTGGCGTCCACAATTTTTATAACCTTTCTCTTGCGAGGGGCTTTTTGATCTTCCCTATGTTTTCGTATGGCAAGATGTTTAAGGATGCAAATTACCCTGAAGCAAAGAATGCCAATGGCACAGTGCTCTTTTGTTCCCTGGCCTTCTTCCTCATTGATGCAGGCTCTTCTTTAAGCACAGATGCTATTGCTAGTGTTTCACTTGTGCTGCCTGGGTCACTGAACTGCACTGGAATAGAAATGGAGTAGAAAAGTGTTTTATATTAAAGTGATGCAGACTCGTGTAGACAGCATCCATGTGAGAGTGTGCCTTGCATGTTCACCTGAGGAATTTGCATTCCCAGATGGCACCAACAGGAGAGGAAGCTGGTCCTTAAAAGGTAAAAAGCCCAGTAGGACTGGAAGTTGTCAGTTAATCTTCTTTTATTTTGAGCAAATTCTGCACCCTTCCCATTATTCAGCTCATAGAGAATATCAGTCACTGTCCTTTTTCTGTTTAAAAGAAGAACTCAAGCCAAGTGAAATATTATTTCAGTTTATGATCTGCTCAAAAATCACTGTGATGAATCTAGAGGTCTTTTTTCACATAGTTTTAGAAAATACATAAGGTTGGTCCTAATTAAAACTGATTTCTTAGAGGCTTTTCTAAAATAATTCTGGTTCAGTTCATAGTTATTTTTTATAAGTATAGCTGAGCTTGGGTGTGCACTTTACTAGTTGCCTGGTGGTGGGGGTGTCTGAATTCAGGCTCATGGTTTGGTTCAGTTGCACATTAGATATTCTTTTAAAAAGTAAAACATAATATTTGTTTCCTTGTAGGATGGAGATCCATCCCTTCCCTCTGAAAAGAGGAAACAGGTAAGACTTAACTCTGGATCTTTGATAACTCCGGATTATGATTATTGTTGCCTTCCTACGTCTGGAAGAACTGAGGAATCCCTAAGCAGAGGGAACACGGCTCTCTTCATTTCCCAGAGTGCTCTGCGTGGGAGTGGGGGGCAGAGGCTGTGAAGAGGGTCAGAAGCTGGGAGCAGGAGCCCGGGAGAGCCTGCTGGGGACAGCAGGGTGCCTGGGGGCTGTAGCCCTTTACTCACTGGGGGTTCTGGGGAAGCTCAGCACATCGGTGACTGTTTGGTGGGTGCATGCTGCCCTGCCTTTAGATTCCTCCACTGCAGACTTTCGAAGCTGCTGTCCATCAAAACTCACAAGCTATTTACTTTTTTCTGTAGTGATGCCAATATTACTTATTAACTAATTATTACTTATTATTAATTACTTATTAACTAATTTATTTTCTCACTTTCACACACACACACACACACACACACACACACACACACACACATATGGTACAACCACAGAACTATATGGGAAGCTCCATGGAACAGATCAGAAGTCCAGAGACATGTACCATGTTATTCTAATTGCTTCTACTTTACAATACTGTGTGTGTGTGTGTGTGTGTGTGTGTGTGTGTGTGTTGTGGTATTGGGATTCAAAACCCAGGCCTAATACTGAGCTATGTTCCTAGCCCTTTCCTTTCCTCCTCTCTCTCCTCCTTGTTTCTCTCTCTCTCCCTCCCTTCCTCCCTCCCTCCCTCCCTCTCTCTCTCTCTCTCTCTTTCTCTCTCTCTCTCCCCCTCCCTCTCTCTCTCTCTCTCTCTGGTCTGGCTGAGTTGTCCAGGATCCTCCTGCCTCAGCCTCCCAAATAGCTGGAATTACAGGTGCACACAGTACACTTGGCACTTTGCAGTACTTTTAATATCTGGTTGAGTTAGCCTCTTTTCCTTTGCTCTTCTTTTTCAGATGTTTCTTGTTTGTTACTTTTTCCAGATAAAACTGAGAAAGATTTTACCAAGTTTTCCTCTGATCCCCCACACAAAAATCCTATTGGGATTTTGTTAAATTTGTTTCATTAAGTTGATAAAAGTGAGCATCTAAGTTTGTTAGATGATGAAAGTGAGCATCTAAATCTGTTAAATTTGTTTTGACTTTTGATGCTGATGAATAGCAAATTTGTTACTTTATAGATGAATTTGGTTTCTCTCATATATATGTATGAAAGAGTAATCTTTTTCCAAAGGTGCCTTTGTAGAGCTTTCCTTAACTTCTCAATGTACTCCAGCATGCCCTGATCTATAGATTTTTATGTGCTCCAGGGGAGTCCAGATAGTGGTCATGTTAATGGTGGTTAATTCGCAAACTGTATTGCACAAGAACTGAATCAAATTTTCTTATAAGATCAACACTGAATCTAATCATTGAATTTGACTTGATTCCCAACCAGTTTGGGTAGCAACCATAACCATGGAAAGAATTAAGTTTGTCAACTGAAGTACCAATGTACAAGCAAGGACACAGGGCTTGTCTGCCTGTTCACAGCTGTAATGTTACCCAGCATCCTGGGTTCCCTGAAGATCTGTCCATGAACATCCTGCTCGTTGATGAGGTGCCAGGTACCACAGGTAATACTTGTGGCTTGGTTCCTTTAAGACTTTGGTGCTGGTGTGCAGTATTCATGACACACAAACACAAACACACACACACACACACACTCACACGTGTGACTTTTGTCTCTAAATAGCAACTCAGTCCCATGGTCACCCCTGCAGTCACTGAAGATTCCTTGCTTCCATAACTCCTTCCTGGTTTATGCCATTGGCGTATAATATTCCACTTTTGATCTAAAGACTAATTTTTCTGTGGAGCTAATTGATGTTTTTTCTGAACAAAATTACATGGAAATTTATCATTACTGTTTAAAAACTAGAATCCTTCCTCTTGAATTGCGGGGTGTTTTTGATGGTTGTAAGCAGTCGTTTTTGCTGTGATTTTAGAGTTTGTTAGTATTCATGAAGAAGTTTTACAGTTTTCAGTGAATTCATGTTCTGTGACTTTATAATAAAAAATTTACATTGACTGAGGAGAATCTGATGAATTCCACTAAGTTTTTCAAGCCGTGTTCTTATGGTTCTGAAAAATACAATTTCAAGAGCCTAAACATTGGTGATGTGGCTCTTAATGCAGTGTTCAGTTTCTGTCCCTTTAGGATTCAGTGTTGTGGTGGGAGCTGGATCTGTGCAGCCTTCTGGCCTCAGCTGGAACCACTGATTCATTGGATGAGATAGGATATTTGGGGATGCAGGTGACAGAAATCCTAAGTTGTGTGACCAATAAAGGGACCCATGACCTTGCATAACCAGATGTTCTGGGCTAGCACAGGCTTTAGGGGCTGTGTGAAGTTCTCCTGTATTTACTCTCTCTACTCTGTCCCACTTAGCAAATAAAACTATAGGACACGCAGGTAAACTTGGACCCCAGATAGCCAATGAATACTTCGTTAATGTAAGAGTGTATCCTGTGCAATATAGGGGGTGGATGGCATATTATACTAAAATCTTCGTCACTGTTTATCTGAATTCAAATTCAACTGGGTTTTATCTGACAGCTCTATATTGTGCAACTATCACGTCAGTTTCCTCTTGTGCTTAGCATCAGCTTCTGTCTATGGCTGGTCCCCCTATGCTGGACAGATCGAAATCCCGGCCCTGAAATTTGAGTCTTTTCTCTCCCGCTGGTTAACCAGTGTGGGACATGTGCCCATTCCCGGTCGAAAGGTCCCTACAGGAGAGTACCCATGCCCACTGGCTTCTACTGGTCATCTGGGGATGGAAGCCATCAATGACACCTTCCAGACTAACTGTGTGGCCTTGGGAAAACTCCTCTGGGTATCCAAGTCTCAGCTTTCTTTTTTTTGTTTTGTTTTAGTACCGGGGATTGAACTCAGGTCCTTGCACTTGCAAGCCAGGCCACCAAACTGCTGAGCTAAATCCCCGGCCCTTCCAAGTCTCAGCTTTCTTATCCACAAAGTGGGAATAATTGTGGTACCCATGGCATAGAGAGGACATAAGGAACGTGCAAGGATCCTTTCGATTGTACTTGGAGCTTAAAGTAGCTCGGGCCAGGGAGGAACAGAAGAGTGTGTGGGAGCAGAAGAGTTGGTTGAGCAGCCCCCATGGGAGCAGAAACGCAGCTGGCTTCAGGGGTGGGTACAGCCAGGGCTCAGCTGCCCCTGGCCTCTGCTCTGTGCTGAGCTCTCTGTGCTCACTGTCGTTTCTTTTAGTGATCCCACTTTACCCTCAGCTCGCTGCTATGACAGGCAAACCTCCTGGAGCCATAGACCCGTGCTATGGCCACTAGGAAAAGCCTGTCCCGCAGTCCCTCATGGTGGGCACCCATAGCCAGGTTTGAGCCCGGGCACGTCAAGGCCAGCCAGGCTTTGTTGGGCATCCTGAAGATACAGGTGGCTCCTGCTATTGCCTTGTGAAGGGGTGCTGGGCAGAATATCTGGGTTACACGCTTACTTAAGATGGCCCCAGCATGATCAGTAATACTGACCACATGCACCCTACTTTTTCTTTTTCTTTTTTTCTTTTGCAGTGCTGGGAATCGAACCCAAAGCCTTTTCACTGAGCTACATCCTCAGCCATTTTTTATTTCCATTTTAAGGCAGGTCTCGTTAAGTTGTTAAACTGTCCAGGCTGGGTTCAAACTTGCTACCCTCCTGCCTCAGTTCCCAACCCAACAGTGCTGAGATTACAGGCATGCACTGCCAGACCCAGTTCCACAGCCAGTGGTATTAAGAGTTCACATTTAGCATGAGCTTGGCCATGGATGGTTTCATTCACTTCCCATCCAGCCATGTGAGGTAGGTCCGGTATCCTCAGGGCCATCTGTTCAGGGGCACTAGGGGCTTACGGAGGTCGAGGGAGTTGCCCACAGGAGGCAGTGTAGGTAACTGCTCCCTCGGTCCAGCTTGAGACCCTGCAGCCCTCTTGGAGCTCCTGCTCGCAACTACCAAGACCTCAGACTGTTTGAGCAGGGAGGAGCTGCGCTCAGAAATCAGTCCAGCCCAGTGTGGAAGTCCAAAGATGAAATGCCTCATTCAGAGCCCTCTCTTTAGGAAGCTGAGCTAGAGATTTGACTACAGCCAGTCCTCTTTCCTGTGGCCAACTGTATCTGGCGATTACATTTTTTTCTGTTTTTTTTAAATCGTCCCCTGGCAGAACAGACTAGAACTTTTCTGTGAGTAGTTCGTAGTTGTTGAGGCTTTCTTTTGGAGCTTGGAATCCTTTTTAAAACAACTCAATTTCCAGTGGCAAATCATCCGTTAAAGAAACTGTGAAGAAACCACGAGAACAGTGGTGGCACTAATAGCTTCTCATGGGACACTGAATGGGGAACGTCTGCTCGTTCCTCCAGGCAGAACCGTACGCAGCTCCCCACTTCGCTCCGCAGTGAGAGATCACTGAAGACTCTCACACGACCCTTTCAATATTTTTCTTTTGCTAAACAAGCAGTTCCTCCAAAGGAGACAAAGGGGAATTTAAATTATCTTGGGTTAATCTTCTTATGAGATGAGATTCTTTCAGGTCACAGCGGCACATTTCCGCCCTGCAAGCTCCTCCTTGAACAAATAGTCATACACATTATAAGCTCTTTGTCTTTTCCTGTTTTGATTTTCAGCAGTCCTACCATGGGAGATGTCTCTTCTCGTCCAGGAGGGAGTCACTGCTTTCTTGCCTCTAAAAAGCGATGGCTTATTTATATGGTGACAAGTGCAACATGACAACTCTGGAGAAAATGGAGTGTAGAGTGGCCCTGTGTGGGATGGGAGGGAGCCTTTTATTGCAGTGGAAAAGCTTCTTGGTCAAGCTTATTTGAGTCCCCCGTGGCTACAAATCAGAGTGACTTTGTACACATGTCCTGGTTTGATGCTCAGAACCTAAAACTTCTTTCAAAGACCCGAAGTGCTTTGAGATGTTTCTTTTCATAACTCTTTGAATGGCATGACTTAAC